ATATTTTTCTTTTTTTTTTCTTTGTATTTTTTGAGTTTTCAAACATATACTATTTTTACACTTTTTATATTTGAATAAAAATTCTCCTTTAATATTATATTTTATTTTAAATACTAATTATTTATTATTTATTTATATTCTTAGTAAGATATTTAATTTTTATAAAACAATGAGAAGAATATAGAATTAACTAAAAAATTAAAACTATAATAGCATGTCCCTCTTTGCCATTGCCACATGCGGAACTATTTTTTTTTTTTTATGGAATGCTTTGACCCGATTTTATTGGGTTGGGCTTTTAATATGGCTTTGCTGGAAGTATATTCCGAATGTGGATCATAATGATAACTTGGTTTTTTACATTGAACTTTTTGTCTCAAATTTCAGTGTTTTTCCACTCATTACATTATTTTATACTTTGCCTTTTCTTTTTAAATCTAAGTAAATTGATTTGATTTAATCAAATTAGTTATATAGCAAAGTGGCTTTTGACTCAATTGTAAAGTTCCTCAAACAGAGGAATCCAAAGAGTCATCCGGGAAAAAAGGGGGGGTATGAGAGATATGAAAGTGAAATGGGAATTTCTTCTCAGGCCATGACTATTATGAGAATCTGACAAAGTGCATCACAGATCTAAGGAAGACATGGGAATTGGGTTTGCTGGAGACATTGGGAAGCATTCAATTGTTGAAGGAGCCAAGCTTTTGACCAACTAGAGCCGTGTAGACAGGTCAAAATCCGTGAGTAAAAAATAAAAATAATAAGATCTTTTAATAAGAAAATAATAATATTTTAGAGAAATAAGCTTTTTAAAGTAATTTTTTTAAAAAAATGTAAAAAGTGACTTTTTATATTATAGAATATTGAAAAATTATATAAATATAAAATATTTTTGAAGAGACATAAAACGAGAATCTCATTATATTTTGAGTTAACTCTACTCGAGAACTAACCTAACTTATCATGAGTTAAATTGAATTGGATTAGAAAAATTTTGTTTGTTTCAATTATAAGAAAAATATAGTTCAAACTATTTATAACAAGTAGGGGTGACAAATCAAATAAGTATGACTCACTTTGGTATGTTTTGTCACTAGTATGCCAGAAATTAAGTAGAATGGACTGACCCAGAAATAAAGTAGGATGGGCTAACCCACTTGCTAAAAGTAGGCAAGAAATCTTGGTTTCTTTTGGCTTAAGGATGAGTTGGTAGATTGACGCACTAAAATTGAAAAGGAATATTTATTTTATTTTATTATTACTTCAAATTGACCAAATTAAATTACAAATTACTAAAACTTTTTTATCTTTCAATTAAGACCACTACTAAATAGTCTTTTAACAACACACAATTATAATAGTTCTTAAGAATTATAATATACAAATACTAATATTTCTTCAATAGTAAGATTACATCAATACATAAAGCCTACAAAGACCACAAAGTAAATATAAATAAAATAATATTTATAGGCTAACCTGCCTTGCCTCACCATTTGACTTGTCAAGTTGGTGGATCAAGCAACAGGTGAGTTGAAATGTCTATTGGCTGTCCCATTGGGCTACAACCTACTTTATCATCCCTACTTACAATCAAACTATCACAAGTTAACTCGTGTTGAATTATAAATTGGTTTCTATGTTGAACCACTTAACTGTTTTTTTTTTTTTTAGTTCTCAAATGCTATTTTATGTGGATGTATATTTATACCACTAGCTAAATTTTATGCATATTTGTTACAAATTGCGATAATCAATGTCAAGTTGATATATTTGTTAATACTTCATGCCGCTACTTTTCTTTGACATTTTCTTTGTCCATCATTGTTAACACATTTATAATTTTAATATATAAAAATTATAAGAGATTTTTTTTATTAAGTCTAATATTTTATTTTAATTTTAAGTGGAATCAATCTATTTAATTTACCAACACATAATGGGTTAGGTAATTTTTTATAGACTCACAAAAGTGAGTCGAGTTGAGTTTTATATCACTATTTTTGTTTTCAAATTTCTTACTATTTAATGTGAAATAATGACATATAAGTGTTAATTATTTCAATGTAACATATTAATTGTTCTATTACCATGGATGTTAAAAGTGTTGGAGAGAAAGATACACACTATAAGGGAGTTGAATAGTGTATATCAAAAATTCGCTCTTTTTGCAATGAGGAGGTGAAAAGTACAAACAGACGAAGTATTCGACAGTAATCAAACGAAGTAATAAAGCAAACAAAATGACATTAGTATTTTAAAGGTAATAATGTGTGTTGTGGGGTGGGAGTCTCATCTTAAATTCATTAAGTTCAAGAATAATTAGCTTTTTGGACATAAGGCATTATGTCATTGCACTATGTGTAAATTCAATCATATTGACAATAACACTTAAGCACAACAGTATTTCCTTGCCTAAATTTTGTTTTATCTCTCTTTCACTTATTTGTCATTGGTGGAGGATTGTGGAAACAATGACATATATAAGTGCTAATTATTTCAATGTTATCATTGACATATTACTTGTTTTGTTATCGTTGGTATTAAAAACATTTCTTAATTATTTGCCAATATACCGATTACCTTTGTATTATATAAAGAGGTGACAAAGTGAATCTTAATATAAAAAATATTATCTATTTTCTAAATTTGCCTTCATATTTCTTGTTATTTTGAGTATTGTTCGTGAGATTTCAACGTGTTTATTTTCAAGTATACGAATTTGAACACATCAGTATGTAAACTTTGGAAAGTAAATTGATTATTAAGTTGCACTAGAAGTCCACTAAAAATTTACTTTTAGAATAGTAATTCTTCTTACAATATAATATTCTCTTTCATTCTTTTTCTACTTATATTTTCAAACATTTAACAATAGTCAATTTTATTTTCGTAGTTTTATATTACTAGTTTTGATTTTATGATAATGTTAGAGAATATAAAAGTAACAAAATTATATGCCAATTGACAACAAAAAGTGCTAAAGAATATATAAAAGTTTTCCCGTATAACAATATAATGCTACAAAACTCAAACCTTAATTTGAAGCAGAAAGAGTAAAATCATTAAAATGATATGGGGGTGATATATTATATATCCAAGTGTTTTGTATAGTAAAATTAAAATAATATGCAACAAAATGCAAACATATATAAATCGCTTCATGCTGCATTGAGTTTAATCTATTAGGAGTAGCTATATTACTGATGTTGATTCGGACGCAAAGAGAATTATATATATTTTTAGCCATCAAAATTTCAATAACAGTAGTTATATCACTGATATTGATACGCAAAGAGAATTATATATTTTTTATTCATTAAAACTTCAGTAATAAAATTTAAACTTAAGATTCTTTTTATATTGTTTCAATTTCTCATCATTAGGTCGAGATTAATAATTCTAAAGAGAGTTTGATATTTATAATGAATGTAAATTTTTATTTTTTTATTCATTAAAAATATAATAATAATACCAAATTTAAAACCTAAAATTCTTGTATATCAATTCAACTCTTAACCACTAATCCGATGTGTGGTTAATCTAAATTTATATTTGTTGTATGTATGATGTATGCATAAATTTGTAGTTATAAAGTTCAATAATGACAACGAGATCAACTTTAAATACTGACTAAAATACCGTTTTAACGTGCTCCACTTAAAATATTAATCCATTATACTCATAATGAATGTGAATTACATTGGTTGTTTGTATGACTTATGCATAGATATGTAATCATAAATTCATAATATATTGACAACGAGTTCAACTTTAAGTAGAGTAAGATAACGACTTAATGAAGTTCAACTTAAAATATTAATCCGTTATTCATTATATTTAAAGAGTTTTTAAAATGTACAATATTCATTATATTTGAATGGATAAATTATTACTATACATTATATTTAAAGAGTTCTAAAAATGTGATTTTTCAATTAGTAACATGATGATCATAATATGTGGAATACGACACATTTAGCAACCAAAAGGAAATGTATTATTAAATTCCTAGATGTGCAATAAAAACAATATGAAAAAATATTTATAAAGTTATTTGATTGCAAATATAATTATTCATAATATCTAAAATAACACTAACATATCAAAAAATAAAAAGATTATTAAATAAAAATAAATAAATAACACTCAAATGTTTTATCTTTACAATATAAAGACTATAAAAAGAAAAAAAAATAGTATATTTGTCTAAATAAAAATTATATTGTTATTGTCTTCACAAATAATATTATAAAATTTAAGTGAAATAAAATATTTTATAAAAAATACTTAAATGTTATTATTTCTATAACTAAACCCCTAAGTAAAAATAGTTGATTTATATAATTATATATATATACATAAAAAAAATTAGAATTGAAAAAAAAATAGGGGGCCAAGGTCCCTAACCTTGAATGTAAATTCATCCTGCATGCATTTATCCCATCCAATAATTAATCTTTTAATTAATTCCTAACTCAGGACATTGGATAGACTATTAAATTAATGTGATTTCCGCATAAATCTTTAATAAAATATTGAATATGAGAAATCAAATTCATAAAATTTGGTATTTACCAAAAAATAAATCATAAAATTTGATTATTAAAGAAATTTTAATGAAGTAAAAATCCCATTATTAATTTGTATATGTGTTATATATCTTAAAATCAAGGCCAAGGCCACGGTTTAAGTCAAGAGAATTCACTTAGCATCAACGTGCCCTTAATTTTTATCTACCTTATGCTAATGGAAAGGGTACAAACAATAAATACATTTTTATTAATCAAACTTGACATATACGTAAAGGAAATTAAGCAAACAGAATTCACCTAAAGATCAAAGCCAGACAATTTACGTAACATCAACATGCCCTTATTTTATCTACCATATGCTCATGGGCAGGTACTAACAATAAAATTATACATTTTTATGATCCAAACTTTCAAATTCGACACTTGGCTAAAATACAAAGAGGATTTTTCTTATGTTGAGCAAGCCCTGGCAACACTTCAGTATCTATGTCTTCTCTTTTCATTCCTTCTGGCAATTCCCAATCAAACGAATTTAGAAGATTAGCAAGAATAAGATCCAACGAGGCAATTCCCATAGGCATACCAGGACACATTCTACGACCAGCACCAAAGGGAATTAGCTCAAAATCTAGCCCTCGAAAATCTATAGTACTGTCTAAGAACCTCTCTGGTAAAAACTCATGTGGATCTTTCCAAACCTCGGGGTCTCTATGGATAGCCCAAGCATTCACATACACTAATGTCTTGGCTGGAATTTCATAGCCATCTATAGTACATGCTTCATTTGTTTCTCTTTGCACAAGTAGAGGTGCTGGTAGATGCAATCTCAGTGTCTCTTTTATCACAGCCTTGAAATAGGGAAAGTTTTGGATATCATCTTCATCTAGAAAATCTTTTTTACCTCCCAAACTCCTAATTTCTTCTTGAACTTTCTTCATTACTCTCGGATTTTTTACTAGTGCAGTCATGGCCCCTACTTCTGTGGCTGCAGTTGCATCCGTTCCTGCCACAAGCATGTCCTGCAAGAGAGAAATCAGCAGTTAATAATTTGTTTAATATAAATTTCTGCCGGCGTTAAAATAAAAGAATTTTTCGTCTGACAAGTATAAATTAATCTTTAATTGTCACACTACACAGGAACCATGTCTATGAATAAAATAAAAAAGATTTGTATTCTTCTTTTGTTTGTATTAGCTGGAAAATGATGCATAATCATCCATTCATGTTAATTAGTAGACACCTAAAGAGAAAAGAGTAAAAGACAAAAGAAAAATATAAACACATGATGTGATCAATTAAATGATAATGCAAGGAAAAGAACTTCGAACCATGATGATCGCTTTGATGTGATCATTTGTGATATCTACAGAAAATGAATGCTGCTTCTTCATTTGAAATAACACATCTATTATGTCCTCATGCTCTGGAGTCTTTCTATTGGGATTCATGTGTTCATCAATGACTTCTTGGTAGAACGTATCCAACTCCTTGAAAATCCTTTCAAGACGAGCATGCAGTCCCCTCAATTTATCAATCCAACCTAAGAAAGGAATATAATCTGAGAAAAACAAGGTACCCCACATGGCTTGACATTCATTGAGCAATCCATGGAACCTACTTCTTTCACTTCCTTCATCTTCGTAGCTTCTTCCATAGGCAATTCTACATATCATAGTGCTAGCAAGAGACATTAGCACTTCATTCAAATTTATAACCTTTGAAGATGAGGCATGCATAGATATTTTTTTCATCATCTGCTTGACCTCATAGTGTCTTATTGAGGAAAATCCTGAGACACGTCTAGGACTAAGGACATGGAAAACACAAAGTTTTTTAATTTCTCTCCAAAAGTCACTATATGGTGAAAATATCATCTCTAACCCATTGTAGGACAATTTCTGCTGGCCAAATAATTTAGGTCGTCCACAAAACTCAGGGTCATGGTTTTTCATTATCTCTTTGGCCAGTTTAGGTGAGGAAATAACTATGGCTGGCCTTAAACCTAATTGAAGGGAAAATAGAGGGCCATATTTCTTTGAGAGTTGCCATAGTAGCAGATGAAAAACAGAAGAATTGTTGAGCTGATGAAGATTCCCTATTATGGGAAGGCCTCTAGGACCAGGTGGAAGAGATGGATTCTTGAAGGCTCTAAGGTATTGGAAGAAGAATAACAATAGCAAGGGAAGAGTAAGGCATAGAATTAGAATTGTTGACATCAGTATGTTATATGGCTATAACCCAGAGGAGGAAGAAAACAGCGTAGTGCATATTCTTGTATTAGAATCATACAAAACTTATAAAGGGGGCATAAGCATGTAAGGCCAACTTCATAAATATGAGAGCAGTAAATTATGCTAGGCCAATAGAGATAATGTCAAGTGAACGTTAAAATGGGGTCAAATATTTTTTATGGTCTAAAATAAGCAAGACTACATAATGCAACCAGCTCTGTATAATAGTTTGTCATTTTGTGTCTTTTGTGTCGGTAGATGTGACCCAACATCTTTAGCATATGATAGTGTGAATTATTTTTTTTTGTAATTTTCATCGAATATGGCTTTCTACAAAATTCTATATGTATATATAATTATTCCTTTTACTATGTCTATTTTAACAAAAGCAAATATTTTTAGCTTTTAATGAAGAACTAAAACTATGTAGTTTTTTTTTTGTTAAATATTAATATTTTATAGGAATTAAAATTAAAATTCATGAATATTGAAGCACTTAAAACATATTTAATCTCAGCAAAAAGTTTTTTCATTTGATTTTGAGAAATTATTTTGATATGAATCTATACACATAAAAAAGATATAAATATAAATGTAAATAATTATATTGAATTAACTTTTATATTTAACTGATTGAATTAATATACGTGTTGCTTGGGTTGTAAATTTAAATTAGCATCATGCATCCACTTCTTCCTTTAATTCCATCTACTTTATGACATTAGTTATGAAATTTCTACTTATAGTCCCCTTTCGACACAAATTTTTAACAAAAATCTTTTAATTATGTATATTTATTATTTTAAAACTAGTTTTTATGAAAATTAAAATTTTTCTTAAACTTAATTAAAATTAGACTCAGTCTTGCATTATGCTTCATTTGATAGAAATTCAATGAAAAAAAAAATAAACAAGAAAGAAAGGAATTAAATAAGTATGGTAAATACATTTTTAATTATTTTTGTGGTGTGCGAAGTAGAAGGAAGAAAGAGATAAAAAAGATAAATAAAATAAAAAATTTGTTTGAATTTGTTGTCATTATTTTTCTTCTTACATTATTTTCCCCTCCACCTTTCATTTTTCATTGTGCACTCCGATTTTGTTTCTGCACCCTGCTGCCCTATCTTCGTCAATCGTCACGAAGCTTTTAGTTCAGATTTTGTGATAACTCAATAACTCATCGCTTTCATCACCAAGCCGAAGAAACACTCAATATATATCCTCGTTGGCAATAAATAAATAAATAATAAGACAAAAAAACACCTTGAAAAGTAGTTTAAAGAATTATTAAAATATTTAAAAAAAGAAAAATTAATAAATAGTAAAAATAAAAAATAATTAAAATTACAATATAGAAATTCAAAAATTTATGACAAAAAGACAAAAAAAAATACTTAAAAAATTATTAAAATTAAAATATAGAAATTCAAAAAATTTAAGTGAAAAAATAAAAATAAACTTAAAAAATTATTAAAATTAAATTATTTAAATATATAATAATATTATTGCAAATAAATTAGAATATATAAAATAAAAAATAAAATAACTAAATAATTTAAAAATTGAAAGAATAAAATATTATAAATATTATTTAAATAAATTATTAAAAATATAAAATATTAAAAACTGTACCGGTACCCTCTCAAATAAGATGGGTACCATAGAATTTCTCTTAAAATAATTGTTCGTTCATATGTGTTGTATTTGTAACGTGGTGAGATGATTTCAGCATTTAGTAATCATTAGAGAGAAGAGTATATAAGACTTTATCTGAGAAACAAATTCTCATAAGTTCAATCTCAAAGAAAGTTTTAGAGAGAGGTTTTTTTAGAACGAAAGGCTCTGGGTCCGTGAGCTCTTTTGTCTCCCAAATTTTTCTATTTGATTCTTCTTTTTCTCTAGATCACTAATCCTTTCTATCTTTTCTTGGAATTCAGGCTAGGAAACTTGTTTTGGAGAAATAAAGTCAGTGGGTCGAGTTTCGGGAAAAATTCTTCTTCTTCTTCTCATTTCTTGGTTGTCCTGAGCCAATTTATCAGGTGAGGAAAGTTAGAATGTAGATTGTTTGGTTGCATGGGAGTTTAGAAACTCAATTGATGCATGAGTTTTGGGAATCAATGGCTGAATTGAAATTTTTTCTCATTTTCGAGGTTTCGGGCAAAATTTTTTTTGGTGATTTTGATGTCTCGGGTAGGTGCATGTTGAATCTGAGATCGTTTTCCAATTGTATGGAGTCTATGTATTAATTTTCATGGATTGCATCTGGTTGGGATCTTCTAATTTTTTAGGTTTTGGATGGAATTTCTGGGTTTTGGGGGGTTGTTGTTTGAATTTACGCCGAGAGCATGTTCTTGGCGCCGGACGTGTATTCATCAGAGGTAGCTATTTCCTAATCACGTCGGGCGCGAAGTTAGTCGCGTTAGGCGCGATTTGAAATGAGAGTCTCTGGGTGAATCACATCGGGCATGAGAAGAGCCACGTCGGGCGCGATATCAGATAGTGGCTTTGTATGGTATTTTACTGATATGGCACCGAGCGTAGGGTTGGGTGCGCCCGGTGTGGAAGCCCTAGAAATCTTTAGCTTAGTGAGGCCAAACATGATTCTTGAGGGGCGGTCTCTGCTTAAATGATGTCGGGCATGGTAAATCTATGCCGGGCGTGGGAGAGCCCTAAAGCTCTTAGGTTGGGTTTAGGCTAGACTCGAGCAAACTTGAGAGGCCACATAGAGTCTCTTGAGAGGGAAAATATTTTTGAACTATAAGAGCTCACATAGAGTCTCTTGAGTGTGGTGCTTGGATAAGCCATTGGTTTTGGGTGAGAGTGGTACTTGGATAGGCCACTAGTTTGGGTGAGTCCCCTCTAAGTCCTTAGCTAGTGTTAGAGCGGAGTATGAGGTTGAGGGTTATTCCTTTAACCAAGTATTGAGGAAGGTGCGTGGTTCCTTGCAGATAGGCAGTGGGCAAACTCCACAAGTGACTTGGTAATGCATGTCAAGGTTGTGGTAAGCTTGTACCCAGCTGTGCTATACCTGACGGTGGAACCAGACTTCCAAGTGTGTAGGTGACATCTTCCGAGAAAACCCGAGTGAGGATTTATGTCCTAGTTTGTTGTGATTGAGCGGGCGCATTGAGCGTGAAAACAGTTGGGGTGGTTTCGGTAGCTAGGATGAGATGTTACTTATATTGCTCTGTTATTAGGGAGATCTCCTAGGTGGGTGCGTGACGACGTATATTAGATGATAGATATGCATTGATATCCTTCATGTGTTGCTTAATTGCATGATTGTTATTATTATGAAGTATATGGGGTTTGACTTCATGATTGCTAAGTTAATGATTGAGTGAAATGGAAGTCCCTTGGGACATGATTGGATGATTATGTAGTATAGATGATTATTCTGTACTGATATGGTTGTTTATTGAACTCTATCTTACCCTTTTGTTTCCATGTGGATGGAATGCGATGATCATACTGTATATAGGAGCAGGTCAGAGTTAGGTTGGAGTTGATGTGGTTGTTGTTGAAGAGTTTGATGTTTTGTCCCAGTGTCGAAGTTACTATATAGAGTAATTGATTAGGTGTGCTTGACCAGCACTAGGGTGGTATTATTTTGGATGACTGTATATACATAGCACTATAGTTTGTATATAATAAATATTTGATATTTTTATCACTTCCTTTACATGTATATTTTATTATCTAGCTTAATGTTTTATCTTAAATGATTAGTGTAGTTAGCATGATTCCTAAGATGTAGGGATTATGGAGGGTCGTTACAGTATTGTGACATAAAATAAATATTATGACATCTATGTCTATATATAAAAATGATTCTTTATTTTGATATGTATATAATTTTTTAGATTATTTTATTTTCAAATTTTTAAAATAATAAAAAATAACATTAAAAATTAATTATTTTTATAAATTTAAGATTTAAATCCAAGACTTTAAAATTTAAGGATTAGATATAATATTAATTAATTCAATAAATACTAATAAGGCTTAAATATGTTTAAACTACCTCGAATTATCTTGATTTTCAGATTACTACTTTTTAATCTTTTTTTGTTTAAATTACTTTACTAATATTTTTTTTTCAATTTAGTACTTGACGTTAGTTTTCTATGTTAAATAATGACGTGCTAAACAGACTGCCACGTCATCACCCAATAGTATATGCCATGTCAGCACACATGATCACCTCATTCTCCACGTAAATTGCCACGTCATATTTGAAATTTTTTTTAAAAATTAGTTTCCCAAACTCCTCTCATTCTCCTCCACCGCATAGCAGCACCTCCTCCAGCCATGGCAGCGTTGCCTCGCTCATAAAAATCGCCCACAAACTCACTCTCTAACTCCACCCTTAGCTCCTGCAACTTCCTCAACCTCTCTCATCACTGTATCCAAACCTCGCCATGAAATCAAAATACACACCCTTCAACCATTTCAAGCACCAAACAACCAAACCTCGCAACCCGGCGCCATCATTATCGTCTTCCGGCAAGAGGCGAGAGTCAATCCTGGCCACAAGCCAGAAATCTCGTCCCTCACACGTAACAATTCATTAGCCAAATCATCCAACACACACAAATCCATTGGGACAAATCCAACGCAGAGGTTCAGCGGGAGGAGGACGACGAGGGCGAGGAGGATGGCGCAGCTGCCGCCCTCAATGAGGAGGAACTGCGTGGCGTCAACGCCGCAGTGGCAGGTGATTTCCCCGCCAACGGCGTGCCAGACAGTGAGGAGCTTGGAGGCGAGGGCGACGGGGCCGGCATGCGGCGGTGGTCGTTGTTGAGCTTCATGAAGAGGAAAATCAGGAGGTGCCGACTGCGGCGAAGGAGGCCCTGCACGGTGGCTTCAGCGTTGCTCTCGAGGAGGTCAACGAGCACGGCGAGGGCTTCATGAGTGCGGCGACAATGGCAAGGCGGAAGGAGGCGCTGCGCGCGGTGGAGGAGAATGAGGGGAGTTTGGGAAACTAATTTTTAAAAAAAAATTTCAAATATGACGTGCCAATTTATGTGAAGAATGAGGTGAACATGTGTGCTAACATGACATATACTGTTGGATGATGACGTGACAGTTCGTTTGTCACGTCATCATTT